CGAGCATATGTTCCCCGGTGAATTGAAGGATCTGACGCCGATCGAGGAGAAGCTTATCGCGCTGAATTCGTGCTACGGCTTCATCGCCCAGTATAGTATCCCTAATGGTCCGAGGCAAGGAGTGAGGTATGGAAGGCATGTCAAAGGGCATATCACCGTCTTCCCAAATAACGTGCAGGAGCTGGTGGCCAACGTCCTCCCGCATCCGCTCCTGAAGGTAGTCGACGAGATTCATGTGTCCTGGCAGGGGTCGGAGAAGCCAGTACCAAGCGATCTATCGGTCCTTCTATCGGTCCGGCGTCGGGTGGTAGAGAAAGCACTGGTGTGGCTAAAGCGGTATAATCCGCTATATAGGCACATCGAGATCGACGTGGCGGAATTGGACAGCTGGGATGCGCCCTTACACGGGGTACCATCTCGAGTATATGAGCGGTTAAGACGGGACGAGCCGTCGGCGCAGGAGAAGGCACGAACCGGGCAGGTAGTCCCGTCTACGGAGCGTGGCCTAGACGAGGGAGAAGCAGTAGATATTCGAGAAGTGCTGGCTACGTTAGGTCAGGGGGACGATATCGAGACTAGCCAGGAGGTAACAGAAGAAATGGAACAGGGCGATACTACCGATAGGGATAGGGATAGGGTCCTTGGCGATGCTGCAGTCCCCGTTTATGAAACCAGTTCATCTGGCATATTCGCACTAGATAAGGGACCGGATATCGCGAACGGGGAGAAGTTATAGTACGTTCGTGACACACTAGGCCAACAGGATCCGGGCAATAAACGACGGGGTGGGACGGCAGAGGTGCGGCGTTAGAACGGTGCCGAGCCGTATATCGTGGTAAACCGGGGCGAGGACTTTGCCGATCCGTTCGATGCACGGTTTTTCGCAAAGACGTTCCCAACGCTGTTCCCTCTCGGTCGTGGGGGCCCACTTCAGGCGGATAAGAGCATCCAGGACGTCGCTAGGGCGAGGGACGTAGGCATCGAAGCGGCTGATCGGCTGAGGGGCCTTATTACATCACGGAACATGAGCCTCGAGACGTAGGCTAAACTAGTCCTCTAGCGTCACGGTGGTCGATTCGCGTTATACCACATCTTTCCCTTTCTTGTTTTTAATGTAGGCGTCCGGTCAAGGAATCGCCGTGCCAGTATGGCGAGTGTCGCAAGGAAAGATTTCCCCGCAGTCGAGCGCATCGTACGTTCGCTAAACGCGGAGCGGCTAGAGCGTGCTAAGGGCGAATTAGAGGTCTCGCGAACGACGAGCGACGAGGACGTTAATAGGCTCTTAAGGAGCCTATCGCTGTATGGATATCGCCAGCCGATGTCGAGGGAGAGTCGTTTAAGCATGCGGCGCAAGATCCAGTCCCTCATTATTCGGGATGGTATTCCGGCAATCTGGTTCACGCTGAATCCGAACGATATAACCAATCCGATCAAGCTCCGGCTTGCTGCGTATCGGACCCGGGATCCAGAGGTGGCTAAAGCCTTCTTAACGAGTCTAGATCTAGCGTACAAGCGAGCACGGCTGGCGATCTCGGACCCGCTCAGTTCGGCAATCTTCTTCTACCGGGAGATTTCCCTATTCTTTAAGCACTACGTAAAGATAGGGGAGGACTCGGTATTCGGGCGGATTAATCGATACTTCGGAGCCGTAGAGACTAACGAGCGCGGGTCACTACATGTCCACGGACTCCTCTGGCTTCAGGGAAATATGCAGCTGAGTTCTATTTCGTAAGACGATAATAAAGAGGATCGGGAGGCATATCGGGAGCGGGTTGCCCAGTATGTAGATAGCGTATTTACCGAGGTATATCCGCCCTATCGTAACCATATAAAGCAACGGTAGTCGAAAGTAAGGCTAAACGATGTAGGATCTCGATTACGAGGCATTTTCCGCCGTTCGGGCGGAACGGTCCGTAACGTCGGACATATCGCCATTGCTAGCTAATCGCGAGCAATTCGCCGCCGCGTTTGAAGAGGAGGCCAACCTCTGCGCTGGGGCTACGCAGATCCATACCCATAGCCCGACGTGTGTAAAGTACTCTATTAACGGGCAAACACGAAGGAATCAGGACCTGTGCCGGTTTAAGGCGCCGTGGAAATTGGTAGAGAGGACGGCGTTTACCGAGGAGGGAGTGTTGCAGATTCGGCGGACGCATAGCATGGTGAATCGATGGAATAAGGCGATCGCGGTAGGGCTGCGTCATAACCATGACATTTCGTTCATCGGAACGCAGTATAAGACCATGGCTCTCGTCTTTTACCTGACGAACTATGCAACCAAAGTCGAGGATCCGGTGTCAAAACGGGTGGCCGCAGCGGCAGAACTCATCTCGGCTCATAACGGTGCGACGGCGGAGCGGCAGGAGGGCGCAACGGATGGCCCGATAACGGGCAACGGTAGTGAGAACCAAACACGCCAGTTTTTGATGAGAATCGCGAACCGGATCTTCACGGAGCGGCCGTTAT